CCAAATCTAATTCAAAGTCAATGAATGTATAACTAAGAGTCTGCCAACAAAAAGTCGTCGTAGGGATAGGTATAGCCTTCAGTGTACAGAATATCTGTATCTATTGGTTACTGAATTTGTTTTCAGTCGAGAATTCATAACAAATATACGGATCAATAATTATTAGACACAAAAATCTTGTGAACCATTTAAGAGACAAATGCCTTTTGTCTATATTTAGACAAAACGATGTCTACAAATGAGTTTTGATTTGTTTTGTTAATTATTTATTAATAAATAAACAAATTGATTGACATATATATTCATCAATTATCATTGAACACAAATGAGCTATACTTGAATCTAATGTTAAATATATGATATAATTTGATATAAATTAAAATGTTATAAAATTATTTATTTGCCTCCTTATTTTTATATTCATACACGCTATATAACAGTAGTCATAACATAACTCACCAAGTAATACAACTACGGTATTTGCTATACCTGTATTATTATGAAGAATATTTCAATGTCAATTTCAAATAAAACATTAAGTTATTTATCATTAAAATATTTATAGTTAAAGTACAGTACAGTACTGCATAATATGTAGCAGTGCATACTGTATGTCAATTAATAAGTTATAATTATGAATTTATAGTAACATATTTGATTACAAATAAATTAGTGAATTATAATTTATATTCAAAAGACAATTAAAATAGTTATAGTTTATAAGGCTTAGAGAATGTGTTTATTTGATAAAATATTTTAAACTTTTGATGCTCTAGTCTTAGAGGTATTGAACATGAGATCCAATTGTTTCTTAAGGTCAGTGAATTGACGCAAAATATAGATTATAGTAATCAATATTGCGGTAAAAACTGTGCCCACGGCTGATGACAACAACCAATTCATAATTTTCTGCTTCTCATTAATCTTTCCATTGATTTCTATAGCAGTTGTAAGACTCAAAGCAATGCATAAGAGTATTACCAACGAAAAGGACACACTTTTTGAATACTTTTGATATCTTTGTCTTTTGGCCGAATAGACTACCAGTTGGATGAGTGCTATGAATGCAAACATCAGTACCGATGAAATCACAGTCGTTA